GCTATTTGAAATGACGTTTAACAGATATACATATTTTATTTTAAACATTATTTTGGCTAATATTCCAAAATAACTATTTACTTAATGAATTTGTTTATCGGGGTGCTAAATATTTTACTAGTAAATATTAGAAAAGAGTCATATTTAATTTTAAGAGCTGAGGTACGCCTTTATCAACTATTTATATTTATATATATATATTTTAAGATTTTATTATTAATTATTAGATATTAGAAGAAATTGAGTTATTATATATGTTACCTCATCAACGAAGAAAAGAAAATTGGTTTCCGTTTGTTGTGTAAGTTATTTAATTACATGCAAAACAAAACATTACTCCTATTACTTATCATTTTTATATTAAAAGTTTTTATGAATGTCACACAATTAGGCTCCGCGAGTATGTAATTGATATTACCCAAAATAATATATGGTCAGGCTATAAAGAGCCTTACATTACAAAGAATCTCAATGAAGTTCTTCAACTTCCTGAAAAGCAGCCTTCTCTTATACGAATTAAGGAGATTATTAAAGATCTGGAAGTATCAAGACGGGATATTCAAAAGGAAATTAAAGAACTGAAAGCATCAGATGCACGAATTGAGGAGGAAATTAAAAAGCTAAAGAATCATTAAAGAGCTACGATTAACAAATCTAAAAATTTTAATGTGCATCCAGAATAAAACGAATCTTATTGGTCAATTTTGGTTCATGTGATTCGTGTTGTTGATGATCATATTAGTCTTTATAGATAGCTTAGTTTAAAAAAAATACATCAAAAAAATATGGTTACATACATACTTATTCAATCGCTAAAGTATTATTTAAGAAAAATACTGTATTATTGACCAGACTTTGAATACATGTAATTTAACTATTTGTTTATTTTGTTCAGGCACGGATATACAGGCATGCCAGTTAGCTAGTAAATAAATAATATTTCGAATTTAAGGTAAATAAAAATAGTTGGATAAATTTTAGCTATAGCAATTTCAATATTTTAAAATTAATATTAAATATGTAAAATGGATAGTTATTTTGGAATATTAGCCAAAATAATGTTTAAAATAAAATATGTATATCTGTTAAACGTCATTTCAAATAGC